CGTGTACCTGCCCCAGCCCCGGCCATGGCCACACGGAACCTGGGCAGCCCCTGCCCGGGATCGCAGCACATGCCGCTGCCGGCCTCGGGCGTGCGGCGCATGCTTGACCCCGCCCCCAGTCACCTGGCCTGTGAGTGGCCCTGCCCCCATATGCACAGCGTGTGAGCGGCCCCGCCCCCAGGCGCCCGGCAGCCCCAAAAGGTTGGGGACCACTGCGCTAAGGGACCAACCTGGCAGCACCCCAGCTGCTCTGCCCCCGGCTTCCCCGAGTCAGCTGCTGGTCAGTTTCAGCAGCAGCTGAATTGAGGAAGCCGGGGGCAGAGCAGCTCCAATTTTCTGGCTGCCTGGAGCACTTCCGGGTTCCAGATGGTGCCGGACCATTGGATGCCGGACCAATTTACAAAATAGAGGAAATGATGTATGTTGCAGGAGATTGTACATAATGGTTGAAAATAAGCAAATGCTGGAACTGCCTTCCTGTAAAACTAGTAAATATTTTTATATAACTTTCTTAAACCCATGAAACATCTTAACACTTGATGTTTCAACCTAATTTCACATTAATAATGTAATGTAGTGGTCTCCAACCTTTTTCAGCCTTTTGAATTTAAGTGCAATCCAAGATCTGCCTGCAACTTGCACCACCTCCCTTCCCACCTCTTCTCCAAGGCTCCACTCCTGCTCATTCCCATCCTCTCTTCCTTCCTCATTTCCCCCAGGCAGGGGCAGTGGGTTGGGGTGCAGGCTCTGGTCTTGCGTTAAGAGATTTGGAGTTGCTCTGAGCTGAGCTTGGGGCAGGGAATTGGGATGTACAAGGGGGTTCAGGGTACAGGCTGTGTAAGGGAGTTTGGGTTTAGGGGGAGCTCAGGGTTAGGGCAGGGACTTGGGGTGCAGGAGGGGGGTTCATCACTGAAGCAAGGGTTCAGGATGCAGCCTTCATTAGACACTGCTTTCCATAGCTGGTGCAGTGGGGCTAAAGCAGGCTCACCCCTGCCCTGGCCCTGCACCACTCTGAAAAGCAGCCGACAAACTCCCTTCATCCCAAGGCCTGTTGTGACCCCCTCTGTTCTGTGGTGATAGAATACAGGGTGGGAGAGTGGGCAGCCTGACATCAACACCCGTTCCTCTTCCTTTCCTGCCCTACCCTGCCCAGCAAGCATGGGGGCCGGGGGAAGACAGCTCCAAGACAAAGGGCAGGAGATGCACAGCAGTGAGGGTAGGGGCAACTGAAGTGCCAGCTTTTGATGATAACCTCTTGGCCAAACTTGTCAGGATCACCTGTAAGAGGCTCCAGGATCTAGCAGTAGATCCTGGTCTACTGATTGGTGACCACTGATTCATCCTTTTGATCCTATAATGTAATTTGCTTGGAGGCTGGTGTCATTTCTGTTCTTACATGTTTGCAGGACAATAGTGATTGTGAGGTACCAGAAAGGAACTGTATCCTGTACCCTTTCACATAGATAGGGCCAAGAGGGTTGCGGGGGGGGGAGATGTTTTGGTTTTTTTGGCCGCCAGATTTCTGGGCACAATTCACAGGGCATGTCCATGCACTTGGAAGTGAGGCGTAACATACATGTAAGCAAGAAAACTAGAAGGAAATTAATCAGGTCCCAGTTGTCACTTTTAGGATTTTACTATCCAGTCTTAGGAGCAGGGGATGGCTTCTCTGATGCTGGAGAACTGGGAGGCTTAACAACCTCCTTCTCTTCTTGATACTTGTTAATATGGACAAAAAGTGAATAATCTTGGCTTAAATAAAGATGAGATCTAAGCATGAATGTCAACATGACATGCCAGATTCACTTCAAGATGTGATAGTTCTTACTACTTTCTAACTTGAAGAACAATAAAGAAAATCCAGTCAAAATTATCAAATTTCTCCTGGGTCACCTCAAACTGAATAATTTTGATGCAAAAATCCACTATTCAGTCAGTTTCTGAGCCATAGGACACTGTTTGAGGCACTTGTTTTTTACTTTAAATGAAAAGCTGGATTGGAATATTTTTGTGAACATTTTACTGTGTTGTAACTATATACTTAAAGGACAGTTATAAATCTATTTATGGGGTATTTTAAAGATGTCTCACCCATGTGTCTAGACAGAAAAGCATAGCACTATTTTAAGTCTGAACACTAATCCAAGATTCCCTGGAAGAAATCATGACAGAAAGGCTTATATTTTAGAGGAAAAAGGCTAAATGTTCCTTGAAAATCAATAGGATCACCACACACTTGGGTAACTAACTACAATGCTGAAACAGTTGTCAAACTGAATTTAACAGTGAAAGAAATACCAAATGAGAAGGAATGGTCAAAAAGTCTACAATTGTAGGCCTCTCAGTGCATGTTTACACTAGGAAATTATTTTGAAATAAACTATTTTGAAATAGCTCGTCTCCGCTATGGGGAAGCCTCGAAATTAGTCCAGGGCAGGCCCTTTAATGTGGATGTGCTACCTCAACTTAGAGCCCTAGGAAGCACTGGGGAGTACCACCTTTATTTCTAGTGGTATCGTCCATATTAGAATATTTTCAAAATGGCTAAAATGATTGAAATGACCAGTTTTAGAAATACTTCTAAAGGACTGTAGTATGTATGCACTTATATTATTCCTCTCCTTTTCTGAAATTGACTCCTTGTTGAAACTGTCTATAAGATAAAGGAGGTTCATAGATTGATAGGATGATGCACAGCTGGCACTCCCACAGCCTAACTTACATTATGGGTGTTCAGATACTAGAATTCTAATTTGAAATTTTCTTTTTGCTTTTTAATCTTACTGTACAAAGAGAATCTCTGCATTGTGTTTGCAAAGTAATATGCTTGCTTCAGTGATACATTTCACTATGAAGCTAGGGGAAAGACTGTTGGATTATTTCTGCCTCACACATGAGGAACCCAATCCTGTGAGATACTGAGCATCCTCAGCTCCAACTGAAATTAGTAGCAGTTAAGGGGACTTAATGATTTGTAGGATCAAGCCTCGGCTAGATTTAATTATTTACTAAATTCCAAATGCAGGATCAGATTCTGCTTTGTTATTCTTGTGCCACTGACAGAATGTGGGGACTATTACATTTCAAAGGTATAAATAAGGATAGAATCTGGCCAGCAGAAAACTTCTTACTGGTGGTTGGTAAGGAAAAAAAGAGTTCAGCTTGATTTCCAGATCCTATGTTAAAGATGCAGGATAGGTAGAAAAATGGGGGGAAGGGGGAATTCTTTGCTTATAAACTGAGCATTCAGATTGGAACATTTTCACATGATTGAAATAATTTATCACAGTGGAAGCACATTTGAAACTCCTAATCCTATTGTTGTTTTGTGTGCACAGACTATACCGGGTTCAGAACATATGGATTTGGACCTTAGCTGTCTGTTACCTGTTTTACTTTCTGATTATTGTTCATTGGCACAACATAATACCTTCATCCAACATAGTTGAGTCAAATTTCAAATTGGTATCATTGTTTGAAATCATTTAATAGCAATGTTTTCAAAATTAGTTGTAAAGATAATTTTTCTGTAATCAGATGAGGGATTTAAAACATTTTGGAGGTGTTTAACTCCAAGTCCCTGCCTCAAAGACCTAGATTATCTTTTAGTTCGTTGTCCCAGTCATGGAGCCTATTGTGCTAGGCAGTGTATTTTAGGCTTCTTAATGCTATCCAGTCAGCTTGTTTCAAATGTCACATCCTAATTTATTTTATTGATGTGGAAAGAAACTGGTATTATAAGAATAACTTCAGTGATTTCCATTTTAAAAAATGCTATGCTTAAAAAATGTTTATTTTATCTGTTCTCAGAGTAACACAGGCCCCCCACATTCTATGTGATTTGATATTCCTTTTTCAGACAACTACCA